GTGGGCGGGGCCTTAGTGGGCTGGGGCATGTGAAGTGGGCGGGGCCTTAGTGGGCTGGGGCATGTGAAGTGGGCGGGGCCTGAGTGGGCTGGGGCATGTGAAGTGGGCGGGGCCTGAGTGGGCTGGGGCATCTGAAGTGGGCGGGGCCTGAGTGGGCTGGGGCATCTGAAGTGGGCAGGAGTAAGTCCAGGGCCGGGTCAGCGTCTGCCGAGTCCCTTTCCTCAGCTTGCAGATGGCGTCTCCGTGCTTCTCCAAGGGCTTCCTCTGTGTCACCGGGCCCATTCTCTTCTCCCAAGGACAGGTCTTGGATTGGCCCCACAATAGTGGCCTCATTTTAACTGACTTGTCCCATCTCCAAATATGGCCACCTTCAGGGTGGCCTGGGGTCAGGACTTCGGTAGGTGAACTTGGGGGCATAGCCGAGTCTGTAGCGGGCAGTCCTGGGAAGGCCACACCCGTGGACTGTGTCTCCAACGAGGACACTTGTCCCTCAGACCTGCCCCCGTGTCCTGTCCCCTCTTGCCCTGCACAGCTGCTCCCGCCAGGATCCCCAGCGCCCTCCGCGCCTGAGCCTGAGCCTGAACCTGACACTGGCCCTGCCCCTCCCCGGCCTCTGCTCAGGGCGACCTTCTCTGCTAAGTCGCCTTTGCACTTCCCCCAGGACCCGCTGGCCAGGCCCCCACTGTGCTCCCAAATTGTCACTGGGGTACCTTGTCTCACCAGCCCAGTTGCCTCTGTCCCCCAGCCTGTGACACTCTGCCAGGCCACGGGCCAGCGCGGGCCTCCCCTGTGGTACCCAGCTGGCCTGTGTGCTGTGGGAGGTCACTGCCAAGTCCACAGAGGTGCGTGCCCACCTGCTGGGCAGCGAGTGGCCGGGGCAGTGTGAATGTGCTCCTCTGCCAGAGCCGGGAGGCAGGGGAGGGCTTCCAGGAGGTCCCCCGAGTCCTGCCTGGACATGGGTCCGGCCATTTCTAGGTGGGAAGGACCAGGCCACAGAGCAGTGAGGAAGGACGGGCCCGAATCTCCTGGCACTTTGTGTTTGAACACTTGGGCTGTTCGGCAGTCCCCACGCTGACGATGGCCCTGCGCAGGCCTGTGAGTGCGGCCCTGCCCCTCTGTCCCCTTCCATCTGCAGCCTCTGGTGGGTTTAGCCCTAGCAGGAGACGAGCTCCCAAGAAAGGATGGCCAGGTGGCCCCGGGGCCTCTGGGGGTCTCCCCAGACCCCAGCGTGGGACTGGAGCTGCAGACCTGAGAACAGTCCCAGTGACCCGAGAAGCCGGCTGGTCCCGCTGTTCATTCTCATGCACATCACCCCCCAGGGCAGGGCAGTCCTCTCCGGTGGCACTCCATGCCAGCAAGGGGGACGGGAGCCATGCACATCAATACACAAACAGGAACAGGGCAGCATTTATCCTGTTGACATGTGGCAGACACTATTCTAAGAGCTTCCCATGGAGTCCCTCCTGAATCCCCACCACAGCCCCAAGGAAAATCCTGTCATTGTACTTGTTTCACAGGAAGGGAAACCAAGGCACAGAGCGGTCATGTAACTTGCCTAAGGTCACACAGTAAGAAGAAGCAGAGCTGGAATCAAAACTCCAAAAGTCTGGGAGTAGATCCTGAGCTGTTAACCACTAGGCTCAACAAACAGGCCAAACAAAGTCATAAAGCAGTAGTTGGGCTTTGGGGAGCCAATAGGTCACTCTTCATGTCACCTCCAAGGGTGGGAAACAAATGAGAGGTGGGCGTGGGACTCGGGAAGGTAGAGTTGTTTTTCTAAGACATGGAAAGGGGAGGGCCAGGTGTCAGGGTCAAGTTGGGAAATTCAGGAGGAGAGACAGGGACCGCTTGGTCTCAAAAGCCACCAAGATCATAACAAGATGCTGGTGGGGGATGGGCTTGGGGCCACTGTAGCTGGAGTGGTCAGAGCACCTCAGAGGAGGTGTATTGAAGCTGGGACAGGAGGGATGAGCTGGGGCCAGCTGGGGCCCAGCTCTCAGATGCAGGGCTCCGCAAGGCCAGGGCTGGAGGAGGTTGGGCGTGGTGTGCCCAGGACAAGGCCTGAGTGAGCCATGGGGCAGAGGAGGCCGGTGGAAGTTCTGGGCCAGGTCCCTGAAGAACCGGGGGGCCTAGGGTTGCAGTAACAAAGTCTGGTCTTTGGGTCCGTAGAAGATATCCTTTCTAAACTGTTGATGGCCAGGGTGGACCCCAGCTACCACTTCTGGATGTCCTCCATGTGGAGAGGAGAGGGGCTGGTACCCAGGGAGCCCAGGGACTCAGGGCTGCACCTGGAGCCAGGCAGGCCTGGCCAAACCCCAATTCCATCACCAAGCTCTGTGACCTTGGTCAAATGACCTGGACCCCAGAGTCCTCCCCTCTAGTAGGCTGTATCAGTTTCCTCCTGCTGCTGTAACAAGTGAGCACAAACTCGATGAATGCAAACAGCACAGGTTTGTCATCCTGCAGATATGGGTCCCGCTGGAGCCAGGTCAGGGTGTCGGCAGGACGGCACCCATGGGAGGCTGCGGGACCCTGTGTCCAGGCCTCGTCCAGCACGTCCAGCTGCTCAGCTCAGCATGCCCATCTTCACAGCCAGGAACTGACCTCGCATCTCCCAGGCTGCTCCCATGCCCCATCCCGCTTCCCCCACCCCATGTGGGTACGCACAGGGTGCAGGTTATTGTCAGTGTACAGGTGACATGAAGTGTCCCATGTTAACCATTTCCCAGTCCACTCAGTGTCATTAAAGTGCGTTCACCTTCTGGAACCTTCACCGCCCACATCCAGTTTTCATCCTCCCAAGCTGGAACTCTCACCCACCTCCCGGTGGGGCCCAGCCCAGCACCATCTGCCCACTCGATGCCCGGCACCCGGCATCCCCTTGCAGCCATCAGCAGCCGTCAGCCCGCCCCAGGCCTCTGCACACACTGTTCCCAAGTCCGGAGTGCCAGCGTGGTGCCCATGGCCAGCCCAGGGCCTCCTCACTGCCACAGGCCACACACGGTCCCTCGCCCTCTGGCTGCACGCGCCTCCTGACCTGGGGCAGCCCCTGTCACGCCTGGCTCTCGCGGCCCCTCAGCTGTCCTCCCCTCCAGCCGAGATCCCGAGGGCAGCAGCTGTTTCCCTCTGAGGTGGCCGTCCGTGGCTGACCGTGGTTTGTGGCCTCCCAGCCCAGCCCACCAGCCGGTGTCTGACTGACCTGCCTCCTGCAGGTCACCAGAGGGAGAGGAGTCTGTCAGCCAAGCGGAAGGACGACCCCGAGGTCTTCATTCCCACCAAACCTGACCTGAACCGGAACCCCCAGCCGCCCACGGTGGCCCTGGACCAGGAGAGGGCCTGCTCCCGTAAGAGCTGGGGCCCCTGCGCGGGAGTGGGGTGCCCCGTGGGGCACCACCGGGGGACCTCGCCTCCCTATTCTCCCTGCCAGGGCTGGGCTCGTCAGTCGGGGTCTCTAGAGAAACTCCCCAGAGAGACGGGGAGAAAGGCCCGGGTGGGTAGATGAGGGAGTTGTTCAAGCAGCTTTATTTATTTAAGTCCAGTCTCCAGGGTGGCCTGTAGGGAGGGGGCTGGGAGGAGGTCTGGCTGAGGGTGTGTGGAAGGATGGCACCCAGGCGCTGCTAGTTAACCCCTTGGGAAGGCTACCAATGTCAGACAAGACAGTCTAGATAACAGGTATTAAGAGTGACTTTACCTAAAGGAGAATGTCAGCCATGTAACCGAGGGGGACAAAGGAGGGTGACCTTCAGGCACAGCTGGATCCAGGCAGCTAAAACAGATCCGCAGTCTTCCTCTCTCCCTTGCTAAGTGCCTGAGAATGAAAGGCCCGAGCCTGCGGGATGGGATGGGGAAGCTGGGAGTCGGCCGCGTCGTGGGGCCTGGGCTTCTCATGTGGATGGGGCGGGGCCGGGTCTGCTCTAGCTGTGAAGGAGACTGGCCACCCAGGTCCCCAGAGCTGGGATCTGTGCGTGGACAAGCCACCCAGGTCTCAGCCCCCAGAGGAGGGCTCCGGGCTCTGCCCTGGGTTCTGCTTCTGTGGGGACTGGCCCAGGGACTGCAGCAGCCAGACCCCAAGGGGCAGAGGTGGCTTCTTGGAAAGGCCCGGAGCCTGGGAGGAGGCCTGTCTGGGCCCTGAGGAAGGTAGAGGTGGGCGGCAGTCAAGGTCCTACGGTGGCGGGGCCACATGGTGTCACCTTGGGGAGTGGCCCACTGTGACATGATCTGTGGGGTCAGCAGTGGGTCTGAGGAGAGGAAGCTGCCGTGAGAGCCGCTGTGGGTCCTGGCTTGGCCCCCGGAGGGTCTGGGAGGGAGAGAGGAGAGGGACCCCAGGCCAGGTGAGCGGCCATCGGCCCTGCAGCTGCACCAGGGCTGGGAACGGGGCCGTCCCACGTGGTCGCTGAGCCTGCCCGGCTGACCGCTCCCGCCTGCGCTGCCCGTGCCGTCTCTGCAACATGCAGTTCTCAGGGGCATTCAGAAGTTCCTCCAAAGCCAGTCATTAAAGCAATGGAACCCAGGGTGGCGTGCCACCGTGCCCCTATGCCACCGTGGCCAGGCAGTGTGGCACTCCCCACTGAGCTGACAGGACTTCCTCTCAGGCATGTGCCAGGATCATGGATCTTCCATATCCAGAGAGCAAAATTAAGAGCCAGCGCTGACAAAGCACCCACCTAACTCCCAGGCTATGTCCAGGACCAATGATGTCATCGTACATTTGATCATCCAAATAACCCACGCAGTAGGTACTTCATTATCAAAATCCTGGTACAGAGGACACAGGCACAGAGAGGTGAAGGAGTCTGTCCAAGGTCACACAGCCCACGGCTCAAGACCGGTCAGTGTTTGAGAACCTAAGCTGCAGAATCTCTGCTCCTAATTATTCGTGCGCCAGCTAAACTAGATTTTGAATACATCATACCACCTTAGTCTAGTTCTAAGCAACAAAATGCCCAGAATCCAGGTTTGAGTCACTTGTCACCTTTTTTCCTAGTGCTCATTAGTACATGCATGTCACCATGAGTGTTTTTTAAAAGACAAGCCACATGTCAGCTAAGGTCTCCTTGCACCCTGGGTTGGTTGCCAGGGCTGTGTGACTTAAGTACCAGACAAGTTCCAGTGTCGAGGGCCGTCCACAGAAGGTCCCGGGGGAGGCCCGTCCCAGGTCCCTCCCTGAGCTCCTGCAGTCCTCAGCTTGTGGCATCACAGCCCTGTCGCCGTGTCTCCTCCCAGGGTGCACCAGTGTCCGTGTCCAGACATCCCAGTCATGACGACACCGGCCGTGTCCAGTGAGGACCCAGGAGTGCACTCCCCTTGAGCCACATCCCCAGCCCTTCTATTTTTACTTTGAGACAGGGTCCTGCTAAATTGCTGAGGCTGGCTTTGAACTTGCGGTCCTCCCGCCTCAGCCTCCCGAGTCACTGGGATCACAGGTGTGTGCCACCGCACATGGCCCTGATGACCTCATCTTACCTTGATCATCTGCAAAGACCCTATTTCCAACAAGGCCACATTCCCAGGAAAGAGGGTGAGGGTCTAACATCTGCTTAGGAGACTCGGCCCACCCTGTAACACGGCCCTCACGCAGCCCCGGGAGAAGCAGAGCTCAGCTAATCAGGATTAGTCCTCTCTCTGGAAAGCTCTCAGATGGTCTGACAAGTCACAGTTAGCATAAGTGCGAAACTTTAAAAATATGTGAGGACGACGTGTTCCAGTTCTATATGTGCCTACGATGCACCTGTTAAAATAAATAGATAAACAGCTGGGCGCGGTGGCACACGCCTGTGATCCCCGCACTTGGGAGGCTGAGGCAGGAGGATCGTGAGTTCAAGGCCAGCCTCAGCAATTTAGGGAGACCTAAGCGACTCTGTGAGACCCTGTCTCAAAAAGAAAAATAAAAGAGGCTGGGGGTGGGGCCCAGTGGGTCAGTCCCACCTCCATCCAACCCCCAGAATGAATGAATGAGTAACAGGTCGACCAGCAGAGTCCAGAAAAGGGGGGGGCGTGGACAGCGCTGAGTGTCCGAATAGAGAGAGCTTCGTTATTTGCTTTTCTGAACACGTCACAATGCGCCCGCTGTCGTGTGCCTGCAGTGCGCACTGAAAAGTGTCAGATAAGTAAAAACAGGTGGTGAGATCAGGGTGACGGGAAACCAGAGTGGGAAGAGCAGAGAGGCCGGGTGAATGGTGACTGTCCAGGTGGTCACGGTGGTGACCATGACCTTCCTGCCCCACTGCAGAGACGCCTGCGCTCGGACAGGAACGCGCGTCACAGGGTGCACCTGGGAGGAAGCGGTCACCGGCTCCTGCTGGCCTTTGGTGGGAGAGTGGCTTGTCCCATCTGTCGTTCAAGAGGCCGCCGTGGGAGGTGGTGGACCCCCCTCGCGAGCACCGCTGGGGCCCAGCATTTGTCTCTTAGATACACTTGGCCAGGTCTGGAGAGCTGGGTCACCAAGAGGAACGCTGAGGTCCCTGCATTGTCACCTCCCTCACTGGAAACGGGGTTGCAGAGAGCAGGTTCCAAGGGCAGCCACATGGGCAGAGGCCAGAGCCATCCTGGGGTCCCTCAGACTGGTGGTCAAGGGCAGCCCACTCTGCACAGAGGCCCTGGAGCCAGCCTCTCTCCCGGGGTGGGAAGGTTCACGGCTCCCTGGCCGAGCCGGACGGAGCATTTGGCCTTGGCCAGGGTCTGGGTTGTGGGGAAGATGTGTTTTCAAACCCTGGCATCCTGCTGAGCGTCCTGGGATGGTCACACCACCAGAGGCACAAGGAACAGAGGCATCTGCAGAGAATCCCAAACAGACTCACCCTCCCGCAGGCAAACGTAATCTGCCCTGCTTTGACCTGGGTGGGGCTGTCTTATTTGGAAAAGTCTTTTGGAGGAGTATTGGGGATGGAAACCAAGAGAGCTTTACCAGTAAGCTGCGTCCCTAGTTCTCTTTATTTTTTATTATGAGCAGGGTCTCACTGAGTTGCTGAGGCTGGCCTCAAATCTGTGGTCCTCCTGCCTCAGCCTCCCCAGTCACTGAGATTGCAGGTGTACACTACCATGCCCAGCCAGCTGTTTTTTCTGGTGTGTGAAAGCTAGACTTTTTTCTATCTTCCTAGTAAATTGAACATTTTCTGATTATATGTTCTCTCTTATTACTCTAGGAATTCTTTTTGCCTTAAAGTTAGCTTCGTCTGATACAGACATATTGCAGCTTTCTTTCGGTTACTGTTTACGTAGTCTGTCTTTTTTCCACCCTTTCACTTTCCGACGTTCTGCATCTTTATGTTAAGGTTTGTCTCGTGTAAACAGCCTGTAATTGGTTTTTACTTTTATCCTCTAACAGTCTGTGTGTTTTAATGGGAGCGTTTAGTCCATTTACGTTTAATGTAATTGCTGAGGTATTGAGTTTAAATCTCCTGTCTTATTGTCTACTGTTTATTTGTTCCACTTGTTTTACGTTTGTCTTTTTCTCCTTTCTCACCTTCCTTTGAGCCAATTGCCTTGTGTTATTCCTCTTCTCCCGTCATTAGCTTGTGAGTTACAAGCCTTTCATTATCTTTCTGGTCATGACAGCGTGTTCCTGACTTGCTGAGTCTGTTCTGATCAGCGAGTTCGCCGCTCCCCTCCCCCACCCCCCACGAGGCCTGGCTCAGCTCCACCTCCCTCCACTGTAGATGGTGTCCTCGTGCATTCTAATGCCACCTAGGTTTCAACCCACGAGACCTCGTGATTGTCATTAGTTCATGCAGTCGATGGTGACTGGATTCGCCCACACTGCTGACCTTTCTACACCAGTCACTGCCGGCTACTTGCTGGTCACCCCGCTCTCAGGCTGCAGCCCCGTCTGTCGCACGTCCAGCCGGGCTCCCCGGCCTCCTGGCTCTTCTGCTCAGGATCGTCAGCACCTGGAGGGGGAGGCCTGGGCTCGGCTCAGCTCTCTGGTCCCTCAGCTTTTGACCCTGTCACTCTTCACAGCCCTCTTCACTCCGTGTCATCGGATCTCTTCTTTTCCCAACATATTTATATGTTATTTGGTCCAGGTTTTGGGGGGTTTTTTTGTTTGTTTGTTTTTGTGGGGGTTTTTTGTACTGGGGTTTGAACCCAGGGGTGCTTTACCACTGATCCACGTCCCCAGCCCTTTTTACCTTTTATTTTGAGTCAAGGTTTCACTAAGCTGTTTAGGGTCTTGCTAAGTTGCTGAGGCTGGCCTCAAACTTGCGATCCTCCTGCCTCAGCCTCCCGAGTCGCTGGGATTGCAGGTGAGCACCACCACAACCTGCCGGCCCACGTTTTCTAGGAGTAGAAGGATTCGTTTGAATTAGGTGCCTCCCATTCCAGAAGAATAACCTGTGGCCCATCCTCT